TTAAAAGTATGGATTTATTGTGTGGTGTTAGAATTTTTTTAAATAATCATAATAAATCTTCTTATTACGCTAATAAAATTACAAATTTTTTTTATTTCTTTTAAATAGCATAAAAAATTATTTTTATTTAAAAACACATTTACAAATTAGCAATTTCATAACCACATTTTTTTTACTTCTCGAAAATACAATTATAAAAAAAGAAACAATATTGTAAGAAATTATAAATAAATTTTATACATTTATAACAAATTATAACTCCGTATATACAACTTACCGTCGCTTACCGTATTTGCAACTTACCGTATATGCTGCCTACCTATCGTATTTGTAGGCTACGTATTTACACACAACTTATTGTATATGCTGCCTAACGTATTTACACCTTCCGTGTTTTATTTTTGCACTTACAAATACCTTGAATGCACAACATAATATATTTACTTATCAAATTGAATGTCAAAAAAAATTTCTAGATTTTTATTTTTTCAACATAAGCATAAAACAAATATTAAATTATATGTATGAATATGCAAGTCGATTTATAACTTTGTGCTCAATCTTCAATTTTTTAATATTGAATTACACAAAATTTAGAAATACAATATTCACATTCAACTTAATCATATCAACACTATCAAAGAATACTTGCAAAATAATTTGTATATTTTTTATTCAAGTATGAAATATACAAGTATATTTTTTCTAGATAACATACCGTTATACAATTGTAAAATTAATTTGTATTCATTTTCTTATATCATAAAAATATTTTTAGATATTGTTTCAAAAACTTTCCAAAAAATATAAAAGAGGAATGGAATGGCACTGTAGAGTGAACAGTGAAGTAATCTCATTTCACTGTTCATGTTTATTTTTTTTTCCTTTCCTTTTTTATTTATTGTCCCGTCCATACTTACGACCATGTTGACAACCATACTAGCCATCATCCTTATGCTCACAACCATACTCCTTATTTTCAGCTACAAAATTGATTGATATCTTCATTTCCATTTTATTTTTGTTTTGGTGCTGTGGCATTTAGGATTTTCTTCTGTGTTTTTCTTCGACCCACATTCTCGATCTCTTCCTTTATACTATTGTCAAACTTCATCTTCGAGCTTTCCACGAGTCATTCTCTCTTCTTCTTTTTTAGCTGTTCCGCTTACTGTCGGCAAAACTGTTATGGGAAGACAACGTTGTGTGCCTACATCTACGGAGGTTAATTTTCTTCCAGTGCATATTTGATGGAGGAAATAAAAGTCCAAACAATGCAGAAATTGTATATATAGTGTCCACCTTATCGCCACATAATCTTATTATTTCAGAAAAAATGTTGGTGATTGGTTTAAGAATAGGCAAGCTTACGAAAGAAAGAGAAAGCAGATGTGTATGAAGAATCCTCAACCGAAAAATATGATGCATGAAATGCAACCTCATTTTACTGATCAACGTTTAAGGACCTTCAGTTTAAGAGGTTTATATTTAACAATACTTTCCAATGCTATATGTTTTTTATGCTTGTATTTGTTTTAGTTTTTCATCTCACTTTTGGTAAAAATGTTGTGCGTTCACGTCTTCAAATGTCCGGAGAGTCCAATGTACAAAGACTCCTCACATTGTGCAGGAACTCCGCACAGATTGTGCGAAGCCTCCACACAATGTGCGGACAGTCCGCACATTGCAGACACTTTGTGCGGATTGTCAGCACATTGCGGACACTTTGTGCGGACTATCCGCACAAAGTGCGGACTCTTCGAACGAAATGTGCGGAGTGGCCACACATTGTTCGGACAGTCCGCATATTGCGGACACTTTGTGCGGACTGTCTGCACATTCTATGCAAAGTGTTCACAAAGACTGTGTGGAGAGTCTGCACAATGTGCGGACACTCCGTACACATCTGTGCGGAGTTGCGGAATTGCGTCGGCGATTTTTTTTGCATAATTTAATCATGCAACCTAATATTTGTTGTTTAGTTTGTTATTTTATTAGTGAAAAATATGCATTAAATCTAATAAAAAATATAATTACAAGAATAAGTTTAATTTCAATATAATACCAAAAAATCTCTCAAAGAAATCATTATTTCTAATTCCTAGCAACAAAAGAACTAACAAAAACATCTAAACATATGAAGAAGACGAGTAAAACCTGTGAAAAAAAAGAAAAAGAAAGAATGATTCCAAAATTTATTGTTTGAATGAGAAATGTATTATTGATACATAAAAGACTTTGCAGTCACTGGGTTAAAAGTATGAATTTATTGTGTGGTGTTAAATTTTTTTAAAATAATCATAATATTTTTTTTATTACGCTAATAAAATTACACTATATATATATTTTTTATAAATAGCATAAAAAAATTATTTTTATTTAAAAATACATTTACAAATTAGCAATTTCATAACCTTTTTTTTTTTAAATTCTCGAAAATACAATTATAAAAAAGGAACAATATTGTAAGAAATTCTAAATAAATTTTATACATTTATAACAAATTATAACCCGTATATGCAACTTACCGTATTTATAACTTACCGTATATGTTGTCTACCTACCATATTTGCAACTACCGTATTTGCACACACCTTACCGTGTATGTTGCCTAACGTATTTGCACCTTCTGTGTTTTATTTTTGCACTTACAAATACCGAGAATGCACAACACAATATATTTACTTACCAAACTGAATGTCAA